GGGCCGCGGGGTGAGGGGCGTCTCTGCCAGGGGGGGTGGGAGGGGGGCGTGCGGCTGCCTGCGCGTCAGGCGCATGGGTGGTTGTGACGAGTGCGTGCAGCTATCGCGTGCGCGGCCAGGCGGCGGGTGGGGGCCGTCAATTCCTGCCCGTCGGCAACCCTGATGGGAGTCAGGAGAAAACGAACCGTGCCCGGCCCGCGCCGGGCGTGCGCGTGCTCGCCCGGCCCACCTGCGCCCATTCGGCCTGCGCCCTGCGCGCCACAGACGCGGCCGTGCCCCACGCCAAGCGACGCTTAGCCCGGTCAGCGCCCCGCACAACTCGGCGCGCCCCAACGCAGCGCCCCGCCGGCCCCCGCGCCCCGCAGGCGTCACAGTGGTGTCCATGCACCCCGGCTGGGCCGACACGGAGGGCGTGCGGACGTCACTGCCAGGCTTTGCGGAGGCGATGGCGGCCCGCATGCGGACGCCGGCAGAGGGGGCCGACACGATCGTGTGGCTGGCCCTGGAGGTGGGCAGCTCCTGCGTTTTTGAATGCTATATGCAGCTTCGAGCTTCGCAACCGCTCGGCTGGCCTTGGAGGTTTGTGGCTGAGGGGGTTTTGCAATCTCGATGCTAGACGCAGCTCCCAGCTCTACGCCTCTGTGTGTCGGGGGCCCGCAGGCCTGCCGGGCTTTCCCCGATGTATGAGTCAGCGGTCACGGACCGACACGCGGCGCACCCGCCGGCAGCTTCCCTCGGCCGCGCGCGTCCAAGGTTGTGTGACCCGAGCCTCAATCTGGTCCGGGCCCTGTGCCGAAACCCTCCCTCGCTCTTTCGCCCCCTGGGAAATCATATGCGGCGCCCCCGCCGCCCCCCACAGGACGCATCGAAGCTGGAGCCCGGGGCCTTCTACCTTGACCGCGTCCCGCAGGCAAAGCACCTGGCGCTCTCTGGCACCAAGTACGACGCCCCGCGGGCGGCGCAGCTGGTCGATAAGCTGCTGGGGCTGGCAGGCCTGGGCGGCGCAGACGGCGGCGCGGGCGGGGGCGAGGGCGCACCGGAGGCGTCCGCTGCGCGGGCCGGCGCCACGGGGGGCGGCGCCGGCGGGTGAGGGAATTACTATTACAGTCCAGGGAGCCAGCGGGGAATCGCCATCAAAGAGCACGAGGCGTTGGGCGCCGCGGCCCCTTCCTGTGAGACGTGCATCCATCTGCTGATCTGCGGCCGGAGCCAACGGCGGTTACTCGGCCTCTTGTGCAGCAATGCGTGCGACCATCGCATTTTGTGTCGACAAGCCGAGTGCATTTTGCAGAGCTGTGCTCAGGGGCTGGACGCCAGGCGCCTCAGAAGAGCGCGTGGTGCCCCCTGCGGCGTGGGTCTTATTGCTGCAACTTGCAACCTGCAATATGCAAGGCAGCGTCAGTATTGATTGGGCAAAACAACGCCGATGACACAAGCAACGAATGAGCCCGCGTCCCGCGGCACAAAGAAACGCACACACACAGCCAACTGTCACCAGTGCCAAACGGCAGCCCATGCGGCAGCCATGCGGCAGGCATGCAGCAGCCACGCGGCAGCCCCAACCAGTGATGCACAAAAGTGAGGGCAGCGCAGCCGCAGGAGCCGTGGCGCGCGGTAAAACCAAATTTGCCCGCCCTGCGGCCTGCGCTGCTTGCCGAGCCCCAGCCAGCGCCGCCGGCGCGGCCGAGGGCGAGGGCGGGGCGCCCGGGCGTCCGTCATGCGCCACCGTGCATTTCGGAGAAGACCTCGATGACGTCACCTGTTCATGAGTAATCAAGTGATGCAAGAGCGGACAGCGGGGTCATGACGCGTCATTGGGTGTGTCGGGCTTGGGGCCGCGGCACGTGTGTGGGCGGCCGCTTGGGATCGGTTGATCCAGCTGGCATGACATGTGTGTGCGCGCAAGGGGGGCGGGGCGGCGGCAGGCAGGTGCGGCGGCATCATCGCAAATGAAATCAGGGCGCAGGTGCATGCGTGGCAAGCACAGGTGCGATGCGCACGTCTTGCCCCTTGCCAGCCGCGCCCCGATTGCGATCCCATGCATGCCTCGCCGCGCCTTTGCACTGCCTTTGATAATGTTGACAGCCAGGGTCCTCCTCCCTCGCCTGCACGGGTGCAGCCGCCCGCCCCCAGCTTTCTCCCACCCCCCTCCCCGGAGCCATCCAGCCGCGGCCCCGGCAGCGCTTTCAAGGCGCCTGCGGCATGGCTCGCTCAACTCCGCTCCTGACGTGCAGGAGTTGGGCCATCCGCCCGCAGCACCGCAGCCCGCCCACGGTGTTGACCCGCGGTGATTCCACAAGCCGCGATCTCCCCTAGGCCCCCGTCACTGTCATGCAATGGCATGGATGCCAGCTATTTTAGCAGTTATCTCAGCCCGCCTCCCCTGTGGTGATGTCATCACGGCGTCACCCTGGACCGGCAGACCGGCACCCACCATCCTCCATATTGAGCTCTATAGGGGTGGTCTCGGACTTGATGGGGATTCCGTCGAATAGAAATCTGCAGCCGTTGGTTGCCCAGGTGTGTGTGTGTGTGTCTGTGTGTGCACGTGTGCGTATGTGTGTGTGTGTGTGCGCATGCGTGTGGGTTTTATGTGTGAGTGGGGGCGGGGGGTGAATTGAGTGTGTGCTTGCGTGCGTGAGCTTGCATGCATGGGTGGAGTGCTTTTGATGGAACGTGCATGTAAGCGTGGTCGCGTGTGTGCGTTGCCGTGGTGGAGGGTGGCAACCGTGCAACACTGGAGCAGGAGGGTGTCGGCATTGACGCGCGTGCGTGGCTCGGCTTCCCCCGAGTTCGTAGCGATGGCTTTGCTTCGCACGGGACGTGACACGACCCACACACACGCACGCGCAAACACACACACAAACACACACACACGCACACATGCACATGCCCCTGCCTCTGCGTTCGCAAGCTGCTTCCCTCCCCCCTTCCAGAACATACACCAAAAACACGCGCGGCGCGCACCCCAGCCCGCCCATGCGCACGCCTCCCGGCCAGCAGGTGAACGCGACGCTGCAGCACCCGGGGCCGGCGGGGACCCTGCCCCGCCCGCACCTGACGGTTCGCCGGTCTACGCCTGTTTTTGAGGCATACGCGATGAAGACCTTTTCGAGCTTTGTGTTGTGCTTCACCTGTCGTTGCGAATTCAAACGCGCGCGCGGGGTGCCCCGGTGCGTTGATGAGAACCGCAAGCAAGGCAGCGGCGCACGGTTGCGCATCTCCGAGCGCACTGCGTTACACCTAGACGATAGCTGCGCGACGGTGGCGGCGCCGCCGCGCGAATGCGTGAGACGCCCTCTGGAGCATGCTGGCCGCCACGCGCACGCTGAAGGCGCACCCGGAAGTGAACAGCCACGCTGCTTTGAGCTTTCACTGTAATGTTGATGTGGCTGGGCCCTTCGGGCTTGGTGTCATCCACCATGGTGCGTTCCCTGTGCGGGTTCACAGTACACGAGCCTGCCGGGTGGGCGTGGCGCGACGGGGCGCTGCGCGGCACATCCAATACCGTAAACGAATCCAATGCAGGCCCACCAGTGACGAGCTATTTCTCAGTTAGGCGCTACAGTATCAGAGCGACACGCACCTGTCCTGTTCCAACCGGGCCACGAGATCAGAACGCCACTGATCTTCAGAAGTCACCAACCTGACCTTACAACAGAAGCCTCATCGCAACTTTGATTGCAATAGCAACGAATGAGCGCGAGGGGATTGCGTGGCCGTCACCACGAGATTGGAACAAAATTTTGAAAAGCACCTGCACCTGCACCTGTCGCCCTGCCTGTCGCATCGCTTTTAGCTACCATACCCCTGACCCTGCACAAGCGCCAGGCCCTTCCTCCTATACCAGACACGCGTAACACGTTACAACGGACAGGGCCCTTTCAAGCCGCACAGCTCCCCGACCGGCACGAGCGCAGAGGCACAGATGCAGGAAGCGGGCGTTGTCGCATGGCGGCAGTTCAATTGGCACACCCCTGTGTGGAAAAAAGACCGTAACCAGGCCCCCGGGCCCAAACAGAGACGGGCCAGCAACAGGAAAAAGCACACGCGGTAGATGCAGGCGGGGCCGCAGCGGGCCCCAAACAGGCGACAGGCGGCTGCGGCCACAGGCACGCAAGACACACACAGGCGCGTGTCGGTGTCAGGGTGCAGCTGAGGAAGTGAATGTGGTTTCAAGTTCAGGTAGGCCTGTTTCAGGTGTAGGGTGAACCCTGAACCTGAAACGGCAGGCAGTTGCTTTGGGAGACGCGTGCCGACAGCTCGTCGCCCCTCCCAAACAGGCGCCCTTGGGCGGCGGCTTGGACAACGCAACAGGCGACCGGCTCGCAAAGCCCGCGTGCGCGCTCCCCCTCACCCAGCGTGGCTGAGTGGTGGGTGGTCAAGGGGCGGGCAGCCGCCCCATAACACCCGCCGGCCGGTGCTGACGCGCCTTCACCCGGCGGCCAAGCGGGCGCACGACAATGTGATTTCTTGCGGGACGTCCGCGTGTGGCCCAGCTCCCTTCTGGTCGAATGCAAAGAGATTCTCTCCGCGGCGCGGGCGCTGGGGTGTGCGCCCCAAAGCGAGGGCCAGGCGCGGCAGTAACCCGCTTAAATGCCCCCAACCCCTCCGATTCCCTCCCCTCCCTGCTCCCGTGTCGAGCGCGGTTCTCATCCCTTGGACGGCGCCCGGGATGGATCGTCCGCATCCGCTTAGTCTGAGCGCGCGTGTGCCTGAAAACTCAACGACACTCTCCCAAACATGAGCGGCGCCGGCACGACCAAAGGGCGGGCGGGCGCGGCGGCGGTTAGTCGGCGGCTTCGGGCCGCCAGGTGCAAAACGGTACGACTTGGGAGCGTGTATGTACGGTCTGAGTCAACGAAAGGTTGCGCGGGCAGCCACGCACACCTCAAACCCGGGGCAACAGTCGGAGACCCTCAGATCGTCTATTTTCGTCCGGCGGCCAGCGGCGCTGCGCGGCTCGTGCGGGCCCGGGGGCGCGGCCCGAAACAACAGGCAACGATGTGTGGCCGCGGCACTATTCGGCGCCCTCTTGAGGGGGGCGGTTGCAAAGGGCCGTTGGTACTCGGGAGGGGCAGGCGTGGCACCGTCAGAGGGGCACCAGCTGTGGTGCCTTTTGCAGTGGGCGGGAGATGAACAGAAAGCGGCAACACAAACAGCAGCGCCCGCGCAGGACCAAGTCGAGCAAACAGGAGCCCCGCATTGCGATGCCATGGCGCGCCGGGCCACGCAGCGCCGCAGGCCGCTGGCGGCGGGCCCCTCGCGGCAGGCATCCGCCTTGCAGGAGCGCGGCCCACGTGCCCCGACCCAAAGACCGACACGTGCATGAGAAACAGGGCGCTCGGGCCACCCCCGAGAGAAGACCTGGGTGCGCGTCGCTGTAGCGACAAACGCGCGCACACGCGCAACAGGCGGTGACAGAAATTCTGCTCGACGACCTGGCATCGCGCTTTGACCCTGCAGGGGCCTGTCAACTTTGACCTTTTTGAAGCGGCCCCAGGGCGGCCGCGGCGAACCCAACCGCAGGCATATCGACACACAGTGTTGGCGGTGCGAAGCAAGCCGCCCGGCAGTGCTTGTCGCCTCGGCGCACACGGGCGGCACAGAGCCAACCCGGCGGGAATTCAATCTCTGCTCATAAACCGCAAGATCGAAATCAGGTATGTCCTTCCTGCGTGCGCCCGGCACGGCCGCGCCATGCGTCGGGCCGCGCAGAAGGCCTGCAGGCGGCCAGGGGCCCTCAGCGCCGCTGCATGCACGCGCTCGGGCAGCTGCAGGCGTGGGTTTGTATTGGGTGTACAGCGCTCGCGGCCGCTCTTGGACCGAGAAGAGCACACAAACAGCCGCGCGCGGTGCTCCGCGCCGTGCAAGAGCCAAACAGGCGCGCATAGCCGCGCCGCTCCGAGCCGACGCGGCGCAGCACGCCCGGGACCCGGCGGGGCCGCGCCTTGCTTGTAGCGGACGAGCAATTGGGCACGCGCAGCGCGGCGCGGCGGGGCCAGCGGAAGGTGCCCGCCCCAGCGCGCCGGCCGGCGTCCAAGGTTTGGGCCTCATACGCGGCCTCCTCTTCAACACAGTGAGCATCTGAACAGCACACGCCGCCTCGACGCAAAATCCTCTCCCCATCCTGACGCAAATGCGTGGGCAGCCCTCGGAAAAGCTGCTGAAATGCCTGTCCATTGCGCCTCTTCGGATGCCGGTCCATCGCGCCTCTGCAGATGCCTGTCCAGCGCTCGTGGCCCACACACTCTCATGACATCAGGCAAAAGGCGCCCGGCTCGGCCAGCCGCGCGCGCGGGAGCCGCGCTCCGGCGCTCGCTCGCGCGCGAGAGCGGACTCTAGATCGCCAGATCATGTCAGATCAAGATCAGCAGAACACGATGTCCCCAGGACCATCCCCGAGCATCAGAGCGTCGCCGCCGCCGCACATGCGGGCGGAGGCCCAGAGCTCGTAATCCTCCTCCTCCTCGTTTGCCCCGCCGCCGCCACCATTGCCGTCGCCGCTGTTGGCGGGCGCCGCGCCGAGCAGCGACGCCGGGAGTTGGTGGAAGCCGTCGGTGTCATCGGCGCGGGGCTCAGCAGCAGGTGCCGCCGCGGCTGCGGCGGCGGCGGGGCCGGCTGCGACGGGCGGGGCGGAAGTCACCGCGGAAAGCGAGTTGGAGCTGCCGCCAAAGCTGGCGGCGCGCCAGATGGGCTGCGCGCCGCCCATGTTCGCGGCCGCGGCGCCGGGCCACGCCGGCGCGACGCCCGCCGCTGTTGCCACGGGCGCAAGCTGCTGCTGCTGCTGCTGCTGCTGCTGCTGCTGCTGCTGCAAGTAGTGGTTGACAAACTGGTGCTGCAGCTGCTCGAAGAACGCGGCCTCAAAGCGCCCTGCCTGATAGTAGTAGCCGCCCCCGCCGGCGCCGGCAGGCGGCGCGGGAGCGGCCGCCGCGGGGGCGCCGCCGTACTGAGCGGTGGCCGCCACTGCGACAATGCCCGGCCAGAACGCCGCGGCCTGCGCCTGCGCTTGGGCGTGGTAGTCCGCGCCCGCGTGCGAGCTGACCGCAGCATGGTAACCTTGCGGCTGCTGCTGCTGCTGCTGCTGCTGCTGCTGCTGCTGAGACTGCTGCTGCTGCTGCGTGTACTGCTGCGGGTACTGCTGCTGGTACTGCTGCTGGTACTGCTGCTGCATCATCAGCGGCAGCTGCCGCGCAGAGCCGGTGCTGTGGTTGGAGCCTTCGCAGCTGCTGCTGCGCCCCAGGGAGGCCCGCTGTCCGCCCGCCGAGGCAGTGGCGG